CGTCATTTTACTGATGGGCATAGAGTTGTTAGTATTTTAAGGGCAAATTGTACACGTTTTGTTATCGTGGAAATTGTTTATTCCCCAACCTTTTCACACCATTTTACTGATGATGTTTTAGGAGGAAAATATACACCTTTTTAATCGTGGAAAGTGCTCGATTCCCCTACCTTTTCAGATATTGTACTGATGTGCGTATAGTTGATGGCGTTTTAGAGTCGAATTACAGTTTCACAGATCTTAAGATGAGCATTGTTTTAACAGCTATGGTTTTAAGATCCACAGTAAAGATTGACAGTAATGGACACGGTTTTCTTGGTCGGTTTGTAGAATTTAGTTTTGAACGGGGTTTAATTCACCGGCATACTTTGAATGAAGAGAACGGTTAATTCGGGGTTGTAAATTTTAAGCATACACTGCTCGTGTACGACCCAGCGATGGTTACTTTCAAAGGGAAATATTATCCCCCCAACACACACACAAAGCCCCTAGTGTATTTCAATATTACATGTACTTTATTATTTTAAACATTGAGACGGTGTAAGTAAATTTTCATTCTGAAATTTAAAATAAATAAAACCGTTAATTTGCATTCTGGAAGTTTAATTTCATAAACGGATGGAAACTGATTTAAGCCTCACTGAAAGGGAACTGTTAAGCTATTTCCATCACTTGCTTTTGTTCACTTAACTTCTTAACACTTTGCGATTTTTTCTTCGTGAATCTCAAATCCGTTTTTACCGAGGCAACTAAATCACGATTTTGTGATTTTTTAAGGGAATTACATTAATCGATCGACAAGACGTTGGGAACGAGGAAAAAAAACGTTGAGATTTTAAGTTTTAAGTTTCATCGATAATAATGTAATTTATCGAAAGATCTTGGTTCTGTCAGAGCTAATTAATGATATTCACAATCAAAGATGGAGGATCTATTTTCGTCTGGTGCTTTTAGCGGGATAAAAGTGTATAATAGGTGGAAGGATTTTAGAGGAAATTTGGACAGTGGCTGTAGTAATTGGCTAGTAGGCTGTTTAACTCGGTGTGTAAATCCTATAGAAGTCGGGGAAGACCTACTGGAGATGATTTCTCGGGTTTTATTGATGTAAAGAGACGAACTAATTGATACAAGAGCTGGTTACTTTAAGTCAACAGAATTACAAGGTGGATAATTTGGTTGAGTTCTTTCCATGCTGACGGTTCCTGGTAATCTTTGAAATCTTTCACTGATCAGAGATGATTTACAGTCTTATTACTCTGGCTATATATTCTCTTTCTGTTATCAAGGTATGCTCAGTCTTTCTAGAGTAGCATTATACACCCTGTCAAAGAAGATGGTCTTGTATGTATTTTGTCTCATGTTTTACAGTTTGAATGAATGTGTCTATGACACCGATCTTCAATTCGAATACGCCAACCTTTGAATGTGTGGTTTGGTCAATTTGTAGTGAAATTTTGGCGAAGAATTGGATATGTGTTTAAGTCTTGAAAGTTAAAACTCTTCTTGTTTAATTGCTCATTAGATGTTCTGAAAAACAAACTTGTGGTCTTTCGTTGTTGATGCTGTTTTATCTGAGAACGCCAAACATTTGTTGTTAAAAATCTGAAACTACCAATGATCAATTGACTTAGTTGATAGCAATGGAATTTTAAATTTAAGTTTTAAACAGATTGTGAATATTCAGTTTATGGTTGAACTATCAGAATAATATGTTGTTTTGTATCGTAAATATGGAATTGATACAAAGAAACAAGTGCATGTCATAGCAATTTGATCGACGATGTTCAGTTAAATGATCATGGACTAATAATAAAATAGTTATGTTGGGTGGGATATCTGTCAAATGAAATCTGACAAAGACATCGTTCAATATTTTAACTTAGTTCATTCTCAGAGAATATTGAATGATGATGTTTCAGTATTGATCGAGGAAGAATCGGAGTTTGAGAATATCAATATAGCTTTATTTACAGATTAAACCCAACTCATACTTTCTAACTGTTCAATTTACTTTAAAAATAAACTTAACTACACAAGGTTTGCTTTTGTGTGATCTGTGTTTGTGGACGTAGTGGTTGAAGTACCTATGTGGTCTGTTTTTGTGGAAGTGATGTTTGGAGTACCTGTAGGTACACACCGGTAATCTATAACCTCTTTCATATATTATAATAACAAATGCTATTATATTGCTAAGACACATACGTTTGTATTCGGGCGCATATAAATCACCTGGGTGATGAATAAGACTATTCCACCAGACTTCCTTGTAATGTGATTAACGGATGTACACCTTTAGTAATGTGATATTCTGCAATTGTGATATTATGACACATGTTTAATGTGTTCTATATAATGAGATAAATTGATTAATTGAAAACGCTTTAAACTAGAATAATTGACAAATTGAAAGACACGAACAAAATACAATAAATGTAACAATTCGACTGTGTACGAAGTTGTTGACTTGGTTTCCGAAATAAAGCAGTAAACATTATCTTATCATTCCTGTGCCTAATGGTAACTATGGACGTGATATTCAAGGATTTAGTCTCGTGCTACAGGCTTCTTTATAAGAAGCAAAAAGAACAAAAGGAACAAAAAGTAAGCCATCGACATTTTTTTTAACTTTCAGTTCAGTAATTCTTTTTAGGTGTTACTGTAAATTCTAAATGGGATTTGTTTTCCCCCAAGTGACTTACGAAAGCGAGAGAGAGAGAGGGGAGACAGATAGAAATGGGGTTTAACGTCCACTCGATACTAACTAGGTCATTTCGGAACTGAGATATGGTTCAGTTTGATTTCAATAATTTGCTTGCACGTAGGGGTCTTTAGCAGTTGGAGGAAATCGGAGGACCCGGAGAAAAGCCACGATGTTGGACAGGCGACCCTACTCCTTGTCACGTACAATCGGGGAATCGAAACCACGCCAGTTGACTCAATGACAAGGTTACGGCGGACACTGACTTGCATGTTAAATGAAACACTGGCAACATTAAATATATGTATTAAATTCTAGACGGATGGATAATGCTCTCTTCAAGTCAAGGCCTCTGTCATTGCAACAAAGTATTTCTCTATTATCAAAATTTGACTACCTAGTTAGACAAATCGATAAACTATCTTCTTAAATACAGATATTAATTTGATCTCTCTTTGTAAAGCTTTCCCAGGATCTCGCTTTCACAAACAAACATTAACCGAAATTCGAGACGGAATAGGATTCGTGTTTGGTTCAGATTAAGGCGATAATCAAACCGATTGAAGCACGTTTTCATTGGCCGGCTTGGTAGGTGCCGAACAAAGCTAGGAGATAAACCCCTTTTTATTTCTAAACGATTCTAGGTTGTTGCATTTATTTTAGAATCTTTAACAGATTTATATGAATATTTTACAACTCATTTGTAATCGAGAGAGAGAGATGGGGTTTAACGTCCACTCGACACAAACTAGGTCATTTCGGGACCAACACATGGTTCAATTTTATTTCAATAATTCGCTTGCGTGTTGGGGTCTTTAGCAGTGGCGGGAAACCGGAGGGACAGGCAACCCTACTCCTTGTCACGTACAATCGGGGAATCGATACCACGCCAGTTGACTCAATGACAGACCTTATGATACAACACACACGTGCTAACCATTGGGCCACCCAATCCGCCTCATTTGTAATGATAAACTACATGTAATTGAATGTTGGTTAGCCAATTATCTTATGATCTTATATATTTCAAAACAGATCTGAATTCCTAGATGAGAATTACGAAATATTCATAAAACTCCTGGAAGCTGATCATCGATATCATTATCAGATTTCAATCTCCATAGATGTAATAAAACACGACTAATTAGCATCAACATACACTTATCTCGTAAATTTCGAAACGGTTTAATTCTCGAGTAAAAAAAAATACACTGTAATAAAACAGGGGATATTTAGTAAATCTCTTCTCCTCAATTTCTAAGAAATTTTTTCAAAGTTCTGAGATAAGAATTTTGACTTGATAACTGGTTTTAGTCTTGTCATGGAATCACTCGGAAGATTTCTATCAAATCGTTATTATTTACAACATGTATTTATCTGGGTAATCGAGAGGACTTTCAATTGATTTATTTGAATACCTGGGGAAATTCGGAAATCTTTCCTGGACTGACAGAGATTGAATTGACCAGATGTATTTCCTTTGAGATTTAACTTTGTCTTAGTTGAATTCACTAATTGTTAATATGGCCGGTTTAGATACACCAGAGGTATCAGCATATCTAAACGTTGTAATCATTCGAATTATATCTTTATGACTGGTAATCAAACACGATAAATTTACTGATCGATCAAGACGTAATTGGTCAATATTATAAAGATGTTAATTCAAACAAAATCCGAAATTACTGATCGATCAAGCCGTAATTGGTCAATATTATAAAGATGATAATACAAACAAAATCAGAAATGGTATGTTAATCATACATCAAATAAATATTTCACATGCATTTGACGGCGGGGGAATACAACTAAATTCCCGCATCAACAACAATTCATCGATGAATTACATTTTTAAATACTGTTATAAGCATCAGACAAATGCAGTTCTCAAATATCAGACAAAATGCAATCGACAAGCATCAGCCAAGTGCGACCCACACGCGTCAGACAAATACAGATCTCACTTCTCATACAAATGTAACTCTCATTCTCACGTAAATACAATAAGCAAGTGCAAACCACAAGCATCACACACGAATCCAATTCAAACAAATGCAATTCTCAAATATGCACTTCGCAAGCATCACATCATTTCCCAGGTCTTCTCAAACATCAGAAAAATATGACACGCATGATCGGAAAAAACGCAATTACTAATGTCGATGCTTGTATGTAAACAAAAATAACATTTGTGAACATGATTTATATTTCTAAACAACGGAGAAGTTTTCTGAATAAAAGTCGTTCGGTTTAAGTAATGCGTCTTCAACTTATATTTATGTTTTCATCTTTTATTTTGCAGCCATTAAGACGAAAATCATCCCGGACGTCACGTGATACTACTGATGATTACCGAACACGAAGTAATCGTCGAACTGAAGATGGCTGTACGACATGTTTGAGAGGAACATTGCATTGTTATAATGTTTGTATCTTGGTAAGTGGTGCTCTAGTTCGAATTGTTCTATTAATGTCTTATGTTATAATGTTTGTATCTTGGCAAGTGGTGCTCTCTTTCGAATTCTTCTATTAATGTCTTATGTTATAATGTTTGTATCTTGGCAAGTGGTGCTCTAGTTCGAATTCTTCTATTAATGTCGTATGTTACCCTATTAATATCATAAGGTTTGTTTAGTGAACAACACCGTTTTGCCTTGGTGTTAGCTTGGTCTGGTAAAACTCGGGTGAGCCAAACCTTAGCTCTGATTGCAACAGGATGTACTGCGAACATTCTAAGGAGGACCGATGGTGCAGGTGAACAGTAGGACATTTCACACCATTTCATTATGTTTAGATCGCAAATATGTTGATCATATATTTCATGTTTTCCGGTCCAAATCAGTGTAATAAATTCTCAGGCCCTCTAAATTGGTGTTGCCACCATTAATTTTTACAACATTGCACACGTAATCTAAGAAATAGAAATTACCAGATTTATGTTACCTTTAAAGTTGACTCGATGTTAGTTACCATCCCCTACTTGTTTGTCCTGTCTTGCATTTGTTGTGCAGTTTTCCTGTATTTTCTGTTGTCTTGTATTGCAGGTTATAGGATGTGCGGCTCTGGGTGTTGGAATATTTCTATTGGTAACTGATTTCAGTGCCCGAAAAGTGACACCTATTGTAGGAAATCAGCTGTATGAAGTGACGACATACCTATTAATAGCTGGTGGTGGTGCGGTGGCGCTGCTGGCGTTTTGTGGCTGCTGTGGGACCATACGGGAGGATAAATGTGTTTTATCATTTGTAAGTTTAATTTTTCTTTACGTAAAATTGCCAGTCTATATAGAAATCAACATTATTTAATAAAATTGAAAATGTTTTTTTCAGTCTTTTTGTGTATGAAAGATGTAAAAGAGAATAGAGAGAGAGAGAAGAAAAAATAGGGTTTAACGTCCACTAGACACAAACCAGGTCATTTCGGGACTAACATATATGTTTCAATTATATCCAGAAGTCGTTTTCGCGTAGGGATCTTTAGCAAAGGGAGGAAACAGCGGGACTGGGAAAAAACCCACGTGGTTGGACAGTCGACCCAACTCCTTGTCACGTACAACCGGGGAATCGAAACCACGCTAGTTCCCCCAAAACGGAATAGAAAAGCATTTGTCAATATGACTGTCATGTATGGCAGAGGTCTATTCTCAAAGTAGATATTTCACTGTGTGCATAATAAGAATCGATTTTAAAGAAAATTATTCCTACAACGAATTAAAGCAGGGCGGAGGGCCTGACAAGGACAGCTGTCTAGTCGTTTGGATGGGACAAAACACCATGAACCCGTGTATACATTGGCATACACGTAAAAGATTCCTTAGCAGATGGAATTCGATATAAGAGTAGGCCATAGTGCTGCTGCGCGGGCAAAATATCCATCATAGAACACTGTATGGCGTATGCCTTTCTTCTTTAGCCCAGCCGAAGCAGAACAGTAGGACGTTTAACCCCATTTCATTTCATTTACAATGCCGTATTATTGATTAACGTGCGTGTAGTAAATATACCTAAATTATATCTTAAATGTCTATTAACATTTTAACTTTCATTTCACCCAATATAATATTATCAGTGAGTTTTATATTTATTTATATCTTATTTTCAGTATGGAACAACTTTAGCTATAGTGTTTATTTTACTGGGTGTGGCATGTGGTCTCGCATTCTTCTTCCGGGCAGTGGTAAGTGGTTTCTATTACTTCTTTATAATCATATTGTTCAGCAATATTAATGAGCAATCGCAATATAATGTGACAATTTACTGATGATATGGCGACCAACAATTGACACAATAATAATAATAATAAGGGTTCTTATAAAGCGCTAAACTCCAAACAGTACTGTTTGCTCAAAGCGCTAACAAAGTTTACAGGAAACAGTTATAATTATGAACACTGAAACAAGTAAGTTTTGAGTTTTTGTTTGAAGATGCTTAAAGATGGAGCAGTCCGTAGATGTAGTGGCAGAGAGTTCCATGTATGTGCTGCATTATAGGCAAATGATCTGCAGCCAAAAGTTATGTCTGAATTATGACAATAATACGGGCATGACAATCGGTCTATATGAGGAGGGATGTCGTTACCAAGGTTCTTTACAAAATGGGGGGTTTGATGGCTGAATGGTTAGCGTGCGCGCGCTGTATCATAAAGTCTGTCATTGAGTCGGCTGGCGTGGTTTCGAATCCCCAGTTGTACGTGACAAGGAGTAGGGTCGCCTGTCCAACCTCGTGGGTTTTCTCCGGGTTTTCCGGTTTTCTCCCACTGCTAAAGACCCCTACGCGCAAGCGAATTATTGAAATAAAATTAAACCATATGTTAGTCCGAAATGACCTAGTTTGTGTCGAGTGGACGTTAAACCCCATTTCTCTCTCTCTCGTTACAACATTTGTTCGCGAATTCTTTAAATGTAAAGGGGATCACGTGGCTAAGTGGGTAAGACGCTAGCTCGCTAGCCTGGAGGTCGGGTGTTCGATCCCTGCATTGGCCGAGAAAGTTCATCCAGATTTTCCGGCGTGGTTCTCCCTTGTCAGTGATGCAGGACGGAGGGGCTGACAAGGAAAGCTGTCTAGTCGTTCGGATGGGACGAAAAACCGAGGTCCCGTGTACACATTGGCGTGCACGTAAAAGATCCCTTGGCAGTTGGAATTCGATATAAGAGTAGGCCGTAGTGCCGCTGTCCGGGCAAAATTTCCCTCATAGCACACTGTATGGCGTATGCCCGTCTTCATTAGCCCAGGTTAGGAGCAGAACAGTAGGACGTTAAACTCCATTTCATTTCATTTCTTTAAATGTAAAATCCCCCTTTATACCTATATACCGGTTTATACGTTTACAAGATAGGGAGTCGTTACACATGTTCTTTAAAAAAAACCAATCTGTTCGCTATGTGCAGTCTTCAAATGTAAAATGCTCTGTTATACCTGTTGGCTATGTGCAGTCTTCAAATGTAAAATGCTCTGTTATACCTGTGGTAGTGATGTTTTCGGTTTGTTTGGCTTTCAGCTAACAGCAAACATAAAGTTTAGAATGAGGAATAGTTTAACAGAAAGTTATGGTTTGGATGTCAGAAGTAATGCACAACATAGAAGAGTAACAGAAGCGTGGGATGCCATGCAGAGAAGGGCAAGTTACTCAATTATCATTAATATATCACCTCTTGTTTCATAACATTGTTAAAAACCCATTCTGGAAATAGTGTTTTATCATTTTGGGCCCAGAATGACCTGTTGAATGGACGTTTATCCTTGGGGTTTTTTTTAAAAGTCATTTGTCATTTCTGTTCTGAATTTTTTTTTTTTAAAAAAAAAAGATTTGTGCCATGTTCATCTTGAGTCGGTTGTGTCCCACATGTTACTATCATATCAAAATCTTGTAATCGAGTTTTAGGAGAAAAGAAAAATACTGATTAGTAACAGAAACGAAATCTATCAAAGTCATGCATCTATTACTTGCCGGGATATATTGTTATCACCCTAACTAAAGACTCCAATTCTTTAAAATTGTAATTTCAAAAAACTCCAAATCACCCCTGTCATCCAGTCAAAGTTTTAAAATTTGTTTCCGACTTTGTGACAACCTAAATAAACGGAATTTTGCTGGTGGGCGTATGATTCGTTGCTTGCCAACCTTTGTTATTTAAATATAAACTTATCTACATATTATATCTAAAATTTCGTTACTTGCCAACCTATGTGTTATTTAAATATAAAATTGTTTATATATTATAGTTAAAATGTTGTGGTGTGTCTGGGAATGTAACTTCTACAGATTCCTGGTCATTTTATAATTTAAATACGATGTGGTATTTTAAAGAACGAAATAGTAAGTGATGTTCTATATTTCTAATTTCCATGTCAAAAGTAATTATTAAAACAAAATTGTGTTAAAAAAGGGATGAATTTATGGATAAAAAAATTTAAAGTTCATAAAATGGCTAATCATTGTAATAGTGTTTTGAGTGTGCCACTTGAAGGTGTTATGTTGACGGGCTCCCAATGCGAAAGTAGTATAGGACAGTTCGGTAGGTTGTCCTAACATCGCCCTGTTTATTTTTTATACGCCGACATTGAAATGTGGACGTATATTGCCGTCGCCCCGGTCCGTCCGTCTAGATTTATGGCCCTTGTTTCACTTTATTGAACCTTGTGAACGCTCCAACGCCAAAAGTTATCATCCGATCTTCCTGAAATTTATATGCATTATTTAAATTAATGAAACGAAGAAGCCCATTGAATTTCAGCAATTTCTGTTTATGACAACTAGACTTATTGCCCTTGTTTCACTATAGTGATCCTTGTGAACGCTCTAACGTCAAAAGTTATCATTCGATCTTACTGAAATTTATATGCATTATTTAAAATAGTGAATCAATTTACAATAATTACTTCTAGAGTTATGGCCCTTGTTTCCATTTGTTCAACCTTGTCTCGATTGGTGAATGTTATCATCCAATATGTATGAAATTTATATGCATCATTAAAATTTGTGAAACAGTGGTCTATTGAATTTCAGCAATTTCCGTCAATTATTTCTAGAGTTATGATCCTTGTTTTACTTTGTGAACCCTGTGAATGTTTGAATTACAAAAGTGATCATCCGATCTGTATGAAATATATGTGCATTATTTAAATTAGTGAAACGAGAAAAAGCCTGTCAAATTTCAACAATTTCGGTAAACTACTTCCAAAGTCTTGTAAAGGCCCCAATTACCTACAAAGGAATAAATATGCGACAACTCTTGTCAACCACTCGGACGATTTAGCTGCTGTGGGCGTATGTTTCGTTGCCTGGCAACCTATCGTTATTATTTTCATCTCCCATATTATTATGAGTATTATTTTTTTCATCGCCCATATGACTATTATTTTTATTGCCCATATGACTATTATTATTATTATTTTCATCGCCCATATGATTATGATTATTATTTATCTCATCGCCCATATTATTATTATTATTATTATTATTAAAGAGCCTGGTGCGACAGGATTACAAGTACCAGAAAGTTGTTGTGCAGATGGAGGTATTGCTTTGTGTACTGGACAAGAATATTTTAAAGGGGCACCAAATCATCTTAATCATTTTAACCCAGACTTTAGACAAAGAAACCCTTATTTATATACAGACGTGAGTAACTCGCCTTTCTATGTACACACAAACCCAAGTAATTGATTCTTTATGTAAATACGTACCCAAGTAACTAATTCTTTATGTATATACAGGCCCAAATAACCAACGCTTTATGTATATACATGCCTAAGTAACTAATTCTTTATGTATTACAGACCCCAGTAACTAACACTTATGTATATACAGATCCGAGTAACCAACACTTTGTGTATTACTGACACCAGTAACTAACACTTTATGTATATACAGACCCACGTAACTAACACTTTATGTATATACAGTCCCAAGTAACTAACACTTTATGCATATACAGACCCAAGTAACTAACACTTTATGTATATACAGACCGAAATAACTCATTGTGCATATACGAGCATAAGTAATAATTAACCCCTTATTTATATACAGACCAAAGTAATAACCGACACTTTATTGATATACATACCCAAGTAATAAGAAACCCTTTATTTATATGCAGACCCAAGTTATTACAAACCCTTTATTTATATACAGCCCCAGGTAATAACAAACCCTTCATTTATATACAGGCTTAAGTAATAAAAAACATGTATATTCAGAACCAAGTAATAAAAGACTATTAATTTATATACAGACCTAAGTAATAAGAAACTCTTTATTAATATGCAGACCCAAGTAATATCAAACCCTTTATTAATATGCAGACCCAAGTTATTACAAACCCTTTATTAATATGCAGACCCAAGTTATTACAAACCCTTCATTTATATACAGACCCAAGTAATAAACAACCATCATTTATATACAGACCTAAGTAATAAAAAAGAACATGTATATACAGACCCAAGTAATAAGAAACCCTTCATTTATATACAGACCTAAGTAATAAAAAAGAACATGTATATACAGACCCAAGTAATAAAAACCCATTAATTTATATACTGACCCAAATAATAATTAGCCCCCTATTTATATACAGACCCAAGTAATAATTAGCCCCTTATTTATATACAGACCCAAGTACAAACCCCTTATTTATATGAATATATATATATATATATTATACACACAGACCGAAGTAGCCAACCCTTATTGTATTGTTTTGACGAGACGTTACACACCATTCAGTTATTTTTGTTTTGTGTTTCAGGGTTGCTATGATAAATTAGTAGAATATCTGGATCAATATTCCATAGTTATAGGACTCGTCGCTGCTGTTGTACCTCTGTTTCTAGTAAGTTTTATAAGTTTGAAAATTATTATTTTACAAATGGACACGGGGAGGAAGGGATGGCCGAATGGTTAGCACGTGCGCGCTGTATCATAAGACCTATCATTGAGTCAACTGGCGTGGTTTCGAAGCCCCGGTTGTGCGTGACGAGGAGTGGGGTCGCCTGTCCAACCTAGTGGATTTTCTCCGGGTCCTCCGGTTTCCTCCCACTGCTTAAAACCCCTACGCGCAAACGAATTATTGGAATAAAATTAAACCGGTTTCCTCCCACTGCTAAAGACCCCTACGCGCAAACGAATTATTGAAATAAAATTAAACCATAATATGTTAGTCCCGAAATGACCTAGTTTGTGTCGAGTGGACGTTAAATCTCTACCTCTCTCCCCCCCCCCCTCTCTCTCTCTCTCTCTCTCACACACAAATGGACACTTGATATCAGGTTTTTGTGAATTTGGTTTGACATACTCTTATATCGAATTCCAACTGTCAGGGGATCTTTTACGTGCACGATTTTCCGTCCTGTAGATCGATGTCTAATGCAATAACTTACTTTATTTTTTTCTTACAGATCTTAGGAATAATAATTTCATTTTGTTTATGTGCACGTGTAGCGGGGAATCCTAATGATGACGAAGTTGATGTCTAAAAATAGCTTCCGTCCTGACCAATCAGAATCGACGTTACATACTGTGCCTCCACCTGATGCAACTCATTTGTATATATGTCCATCCAAAACTAAAACTGGTTGTAAACGAAAACCTGTTTTAGTTGTAATTTGTAGTACATTCATTGGTTGATTGGAAACTAGAAGTAAATCGCAACTAAGTGACGTTTATGAAATATTTTTACAAGACACTTCATAGTAGTGCTGTTAAAATATACGCCTACTTGTTTTAAACTATTAATGAATGGCGTCATGTGAAATATATTTGGATATTTGGAACACATATCCAAGACTTTCAAACACAATGAAAATTTGATGGGAGATATTGTAAAACTGGTGTTAACAACCTCTAATCAACTCGTGAAGAAAGTAATGGAATTGATGAAAAGCAACAACAACTATTCGTATGTGTTTCGGGAATAATTTAAATACTGTCCGTTTATTGTCCATCAAAATGTTCGAGTTGTCTACAACATGGCTTCTTCAACAATCGAACAGTGTAAAATGTACTGACGCAGATACGTGTCCTTGGTGACGGCTGATTTGTCATGTCTTAATGGCGGATGGGTCCATCATTGAATGACCACTAATCACGTGATTTCGTGACGTTGTTACACCAGTTTTAGAATACGGTCACGGTCCATTTTAAAGATGGATGTCTTACAGGAAGATGAATTGTGATGATTTAAAGTGTGCAATGAAAGGTACAGAACCGGAAGTGAATAAAATAAAGCAAAAGTAACTTCTCAAATGTGAGAAAATTGGAATGTGTTAATTTTATTGATGATACAGAATATAAGAGTTGAAACTATGATACATTAGAGCCACTGAATCATGTATTATTTTATAATTTGGGCAAATAATATTCCGTTTAATACTTGTTTAGAGAAAAAAAATATTACTGTGATTATTCAAAAGCCACTTAACTACTTCCGGTTTATTTAAATGAGTTCGGTGGCTGCCATCTCCATGATAAACTATTCCATGTATTCTGACCTATGAGAGGGTCTCAATGCTAAATATAGATATATATATATATATAGACATGTATAAGTGAATGGGTTCCTTATGTACAGATAGTTGTCATATATAAAATGTAATTACATTACATACATACATTAAAGGTCTTGGTGATCAAGTCTGAGTTAACAGACTAGATAATCCGGACAAGTATTATCAAGAATAAGAAACAACATTTTGTACTTAACGTTTCTGTGTCTGGAATCCTATTTAAAAATAGGATTTTTTTTTATTTCATTTCAAACGTTTTTTCGCTTGAAACAAGTTATCCTTTCGAATTTTTGTTCTAATAAATATTCATGTAATTTATCACGTGATACGGAGTAGGAGTTTGATGTTTCTTATTTTGTTTATTCTTATTTTTGTTTTCATTCATTTTCTGGGGTTTAAAGGGTTTTAATAGGCGTATTATTAATATACATGTAAATGACATTATCTTTAATGTATCAACTGTATAAAACTGAAACGTTCAAACGACAGTCATCAACAAATTTTACTTTTTGACCAGGTGGATAAAAAGACTATTAGTTTTACCGAAGAATAAAAGTTATATTTACCGAAACCAAGCAGACAGATCGATATGAATTGAAATCTAATATATTTCTCTCGTGGGATTTTATTTAAATTTCTAACCTCGGAACAGGAATCCCTGGAATATATTTCTCTTTGGAATATATTTGAATTTCTAACCTTCTGTCCTTCTAATCGCAGTTGTAAATAAATATAACAAGGCCAATAGTGAGAACTATGTGCATGAACAATTAATATACACTTCCGGTCCACCATTCTTCTATCAGTATAGCCTATAGGTAATTTGATCATATATTCTTTCCACCATTTTAAAACTTGTTCTCAATTTGTAAAGAACTCATTTCTTATATATAAGCCCCGATATGCCAGATGGTCCAAGTACTATATTTCAGTGCTACAAAACCAATAAAATATGACGGTAACCTCAAATTATGTTATTCAGTTAAGTAAAGTCGCGCTAAAACAATTAATACTTAGTAACATTGGAATTACGTTTTTGTTATAAACAAAGACAATTAGATATAGCGGTGTGAAATTTGAGTGCTTATTGGAAGGATACTTTGGATTGGGATTATTTTGAACTCAATTTCTGACTTTTTTGGAGTATTGTTTTTGGAAGTTCACTGAAATAAGTATTGTAAGTCAATCGGCAATAAAGTTCTTTAAACATTCCATATTATTCTATGCATATCTTCAACTTTGTTTTATGTAGCTATGTGGTTATAAGTAAATAATACAGCAATGTTAAATTATTAGCAAATATCCACTGCTAAACTATAGTGTCAAATTAAGGTTAGCTCACAATTATTGGAATTTCAGTGATGTTCTGATCATTTCGGGGATTGAGTGAACAGCTACAGTAGTATAGGTTGTTATCCTCTTGGAACCTTACCAAGAAAAAAGAACTTCCGACAAGACCAAGGTTTTCGTTGAAATAATGTTTTAGAAATGACAAACATTGTTTATACAATTCCCTTGACGTTTCAACTGTTCCATGGAATCACTGTGTATTGTTTATTCCCAACTGTCAACAAGCATTGGAAGTAGTTGCTGATTTGATTAAAAATAATTGAAATAGTCGAGGTTGAATGTTCCACCTTCATTGTCAGAAAATCATTGATCAAATCTATAACGGGCAGCGGATGTGACGACATTCCTTCTCAGCAATTTATAGTCTAAATTATGTTACATAAACTAGCAACATTAGTCTCATTTTTAATCCCCTTATTTGGTGAATTCTATGGGGATATTAAATCTCTACTTTAAATAAATAATTATTTAAAACAAAGATCACCTTTAAACCCTAGCTCTAAGCAATAAGCGTGGTCCCAAATTCAGTTCAATTGCTTAGCTATTTTGCATTTTCGTATAAAATGTATTTTTCCAATAAGTTTGTTTATATACGTGTAAATTGCGTCCTAGGTTTGGCAATATTTATCAATATGAATATGTTATTTGCTTTTGTTTAAATTTATATTTCTATGCTTCAAATGTTTTGCAGAATTTCAGCAGATTCTTTGATCGTTTTGTCAAATGTAAATTATATATCTTGATTTTGTTTTCTGTTTAATACAGATATATCACTATTTGTATATGTTGAATGAAACAGTGAGAAAGAATGAGAAGTAGATTTATAAAATGGCGGAGATAATTGAATGACTTTTAAAGTTTAGTAGTTAGTAAACATTTTGTGTTTTCATTTTGTCATCAGATATGACGATTATTATAATAATATTTTAACTTATGTGATACACCCGTAGTCAAATTTTAATTAAGTTCTTTATAAACAGTTTATTTATAAGCTTAAGCTCATTCAATTCAAATTCTTCTGTAACAATGTTCACGAAAAGAAATCATGATTTATATGGATTTTGCAACTAGCGGGGTTTCGATTCCCCGGTTGTACGTGACAAGGAGTAGGGTCGCCTGTCCAACCTCGCGGGTTTTCTCCGGGTCCTCCGGTTTCCTCCCACTGCTAAAGACCCCTACGCACAAGCTAATTATTGAAATAAAATTGAACTATGTGTTAGTCCCGAAATGACCTAGTTTGTGTCGAGTGGACGTTAAACCCCATTCTCTCTATATATAGATTTTGAAATTATAAATTAAAGTAAAACCATGGCAACCTGACTGATCAGATCAATAAAACCTGTAATCTACAACACAAGAAATTATTGGTTACTACGGATCACCTGATCAGTGATCAACCAATTATAACAAAAGCCCTGAAATAAACACCAGATTCTTCACACATGTTGAAGGTCTACACGTGTTGAAGGTCTTTATTTGGGCTTCAAATATTATATAATATTTAGACATTATTCACGTAACAGGCCTATAATAAATTCTCTAGCCTATCGGATGGCGGAGATTCGTCATTTAATGATTTATATCAAACTTCTCAATACACAGGTCAAAATTCGGTTGATTACAATTATTGTTTATTACTGGACAACCCTTGCTTGACATAAAGACTCGAACATCCTAGTTAAAAACGTTGTTCAGTAAAACTGTATTCGATAGCATTGTGTCATATTTTTAATCAGTAATTATAATACAATTTAAACCATCATTGTATAAACAACTATACAATTACTAGATGTTTCGTCCTGGGGTTTATAATACAATATCAGTAACATATATTCGACTGTTATGGTGTCTAAGAGAAGATTATCGTCTTGTTTTCTATTTTAACCCAACTAATGACATCAAGAATTAAAATTGAAATTTGAATCAAGCAACCCCCCACACCCCCAAACATTTATGTATCTAGTTAGAATACGATAGACAGGGATCTTTGGGGTTGTTAAAATTGATTATCATTTAAGGTAATTAGTTTACACTTAACCATATTTTTTCATAGAAGTAATTGAGGTTTTTTTGTTCAATCTGTTCTAATTAAAACTAGTTTGTATGTATGTACACATATATATAATTATGATATTAAAAAAATACGTTAATTTAAGTTTTACGATGAGAATTGATTAATATGCATCTTTTGTAAATGGAAACTTTCAACGTTATTATATATTTTGCATATATTTGTGTGTTTGTTTTGTTTTTGGACTAAATACTAATCCAATGACGGGGTCGAGCAATAGTGTTGGCCGAAAAAGTTCATCGGGACAGCTGTCCAGTAGTTCGGATGGGACGAGAAACCAAGGCCCCGTGTACACATTGGCATGCACGTAAAAGATCCCTTGGCCATTAGAATTCGATATACGATTAGCCCGTAGCGTCGCTGTCTCTTGATTTTACAAGCACGTCCCGCAGCAATTTAGCGACCAACCATTTTGGATCGTTTATTCTGATCTTAGTTTTAGAATAGTTTCTATAGGTTTTAACTGAGCTAGTGCGTGCGTTCACAGAGTTTTACGTCCACTTCCACCAAAGGTGATATCGTAGACAAGTTAGATCACCAGTATCTGTTCTTCTTTATTCTCCTGCATAACGTATGGGATTGGTTATGGAATAGGGGTCGTCGCCACCCTAACCACGTGTCCTTCCGCCGGATACCCACAACCCCTATTACTCAAGAACCCTGCGCGTGACGAGTTATTGAAATACACCATAGTATGTTAATCCCATCTTCCCCATTGCCCTCTCGTGTGATAGTCTGGTTTTTTTTTGTATTCTTGGTTCCTTTCCGAACTGTCTCGCTAGATCGACGTCCTCTAACCTTAGCTGCCGTATGAAAATACTACTCACCCCCGCCTCTGTTTTAAGGCTATTTTCGTGTCCTTGCCTTCCCTTGGTCATCGTATTTCATCTTTGTTTGTTGCAAGCAACCATTTCCCGCCACATCTGACTGACACACATTTATAATAATCCAACACTATCTCCTTTAAATCCTGCCTTCCCTACATTTCTCTCTCTTGTAGTCGAGTCTCGGTTGTTAAAGGACAATATTGGTGCCAGTCATTATCACATATGTGATAGAACTGGTTAAACACGTTCCAAATATTATTGGCGTGCTCGTAAAAGATCCCTTGGCAGTTGGAATTCGATATAAGAGTAGGCCGTTGTGCCGCTGTCTGGGCAAAATGTCCCTCATAACACACTGCATGACGTATGCCCGTCTTCATTAGCCCAGCAAGACGTTAAACCCCATTTCATTTCATTCCTGAATTTGCAACCAGTGAATAGAATGATATTTATTGATATGTGGGCATGCAATGTAGGGGAGAGAATTACTGTTAACCTACAAGAATGTCAGACCACAATTAATTTCCACTTTGACTGGATTGTTAATTATTGACTCAATGCCCGGCTCCAACTTCGCCGGACATTTTGCTTGCGATAAGCACCCTCCACCACTGACGGAGCCATATTTAGCAGTGGCTTGATCCAAAGCTTCTATAAAGCTTCTATAAGTTGACCATTTAAATTTTAAGATACACAATCGTGAAGTACCATACTAGTATACGTACCTCTGCGCCGTCCATATCTCCGATGCGATGTAATATATATAAATGTATCTGCACACAGCGCATCAGTTGGACATCGTTTGATTGGTTGCAATATAATTATAGTTCCGCAGAACATAATAGTGTTTCTCCATGATTGGCCAATAATATTTTTATTATTATTACAACAGAACTGCATGAGGACCAAGACTAACAGAACTGCATGAGGACCAAGACTAGCAATTCTCTCCCCATTATGTTTTAACATTTAAATGGACCTTGCAATTGATCTTTTATAGGGTCCATGATATCTATAACCAGAAAAAAAAACCCACCATGTCACAATCATCTGAAAAATTACTGGAGGGGGAGGGGGTGTCATGGTGGTTCTGTTTGCCGTCTTGTTTTGACGTGGTGCCAGCTTTACGCGTTCTTGGTATTACGTGCTATTTCACTTTCTACGTCTTTTGGTTATGATTTACATGCGATGCTACCGGGGAGTTTCGCAAGTCAAGTTTCAGCCGATTCGATAAACTGGATCAACGCAAACAAAGTGTCCAAATATCAGAGAGAGAGAGAGAAATGGGGTTTAACGTCCACTGGACACAAACTAGGTCATTTCCGGACTAACACGCGGTTCAATCTTTTTTATTTCAATAATTCGCTTGCGCGTAGTGGTCTTTAACAGTAGGAGGAAACCGGAGAAAACCCACGAGTTTGGACAGGTGACAGGCGACCCCACGCCAGTTGACTCAATGACAGACCTTATGATACAGCGCGGACGTGCTAACCATTCGGCCATCCAACCCCCGTCTAAATATCAAGACCCAAGGGAAAGGCACTCGCCTGTTTTTATTTCAAACACCAATGGCACCCATACGAGGGACTAGGACGCCGTCGGACTAAGAATACTGTCACATTACGAGAAGATCAGAATAGCAGTTTGACATTTCCAGGTCATAAACTGTCTATCAAACTCCATGAATAAAGGGTTTACGGATTGTCGTACTAGGGGGCGATCAAATAACAGAATGTCATAATTACAGTCCGTCCAGCATTGACCACAACCAATTGAGCAGAAAAGAGTTGTGCTGTATATCCGAGTTGACTGAATTAAGCCATGGGCTTCAAAAGTCCTCAAACTAGCTGCATTGAGTCTGATATAGACACCTTTACTGAAGGCCAGCTCTATGTCTTTTTTAAAACTTTGTATGTCTTTGTATGGCTTGTGGTACCATTCAGTTGATGTTTACATCGTTTTAGAATATTCCGTTTGAGACCCAGGCGATAGCGATGGGCAGCACATATCAACTTTCCATCTAAAATCGAAGAATCAAGATCAAAAATTTCACCTCGTCAAGAAATCAGCTCCCATTCGGTTCTCACATCACTTATTGTTATGTAATGTGCTAAAGGGTGGGCCTTAATGTCCTTAGTACACTCTTTCAATCGTATGAAGTCATTTTCTGGCTCATATCCGGGATACGTACCACGTTCTATGGCCGAAAATGAAGAAAATACGCAATTTTCTGCGATCTCGGGCGCGGCCATCTTAGATTGGATACCAAGACTCATCAAAGATACCAGATTACAGCTGCTACCAGCGAGCACGGACGAATGAATTCGTGAACAAACAGAGAAAGCTGACTTACCCTAAATGAAAGTAGTTGGCCATTTCATAGAGAATCAGAGATTTACAATAGGGAAAATTCACCAACTTTGACTTATGATTTCGCATTGAATGAAAAGAGGTGACAGAGATGTTATTTCTTATATCGGTAGAGGGTGTCGAGCGGTGCATAAAACCATATCGATATTTTGAGTGAATTAGCTTATTTTAATCACAATTTGTTATTACAATTAAATTCCGTTATATATTCAAACATACTTTTAATCGATTTAATACATTTTGCTAGATGTCGTACACATTTGTTGCTGTACTTGCTTGAATACGTTGAGAGAATTATCTTCGAAACGTCGCCCAAATGGAGCCACGGTGGCTAAGTGAATAAGGCGCTGGCTCGATAGCCTGGAGGTCCTGGGTTCACTTCCGGTATTGGCCGAGAAAGTTCATCGGGATTTTCAGGTGTGGTTTCCCCTTGTCAGTGGTACAGGACAGAGGGCCTGACAAGGACAGCTGTGTGTCTTTTTGGATGGGAAGAGAACCCGAGGTCGCGCGTACACAATGACATGTACATTAAAGATCCCTTGACAGTTTGAATTCCATATAAGAGCTGACCGTAGCGCCACTGTCTGGTCAAAATTGTCCTCATAACACACTGTATGACGTATGCCTGTTTTTATTAGCCCAGTCGGAGCAGAACAGTAGGACGTTAAACCCCATTTCATTTCATTAGCAATTTAGCAATCAACCATTTCGGAGCGTCTACTCCTACCTTATTTTTAGAATAACTTCTACAGGTTTTAACTGAGCGGTACGTTAGATCACCTGTATACGGCCTCCTTTATTCTCCAGCACTGTATACCTACTTGGTTTGGTTAAAGAGTAGGGGGGTCATCGCCAACTTAACTCTGTGTCATTTCGCCGGGTACCTCATCCCATAATTACTGAAATGAAATGGGGTTTAATGTCCTACTGTTCTACTCCAAACTGGGCTAATGAAGACGGGAACCCAAAATAACTAAATAATACCGAAATAATATATCAAATACACATTATGTTAATCCCATTTACCTCTCGTGCAATAACCTGGGATTTCCTTATACTTAGTACACCCCCCCCCCCCCATCCCTACATTTCTCTCTCGGTATTCAACGACTGCGAATGTCTACCATTGAGAGATAACAACTTCCTCGATATTTCATGAAATTTATGCATTGAAGAAGCATATAACTTTTAAGAATATGACATCATTTAAATACACCCACCGTTGCTACTAAATAATTCGCTCCCTACCTATAAAGAAAACAAATTTTAATACAATTAATACAATTGATCTATCGACCAATCAAAACTCTCGATACTCCCCTAAATGAGCGAGAAATTCATTTTCTAGCCAAAATAGGCAAGATCATTATGTGATGATCGCTTCTATTAAAATGAAATGCGACACGAGACCAGAACACGATTAACATACGGAACTAAAATAACGTCTTTTTTAAATTATCGAATAGTCCTGTAAATATGCTGTAAGACATGAGTTTTGAAATCAAATCATTCCTGAATTTGCAACTAGTGTACAGATTGATATTTATTTATATGTGGAAGATGCAATGTAGGGGAGAGAATCACTGTTAACATACAGGGTTTCAGACCACAATTAATCTCCGCTTTGATTTGACTGTTAATTATTGACGCAATGTTCGGCTAGACAGCTGTCTAGTCGTTCGGATGGGATGACAAACCGAGGTCCCGTGTACACATTGACGTGCGCGTAAAAGATCAATTGGCAGTTGAAATTCGATTTTAAAGTTGACCATAGTGCCGCTGTTCGGACAAAAGTTCCCTTATAGCACATTGTATGGCGTATGGCTATCTTCATTAGCCCAGTTACAGCAGAACAACGGGACGTTAAATCCCATTTCATTTCATTCTCTAAATTTAGTTAGTCTGCTCCTGTGTTCATATTCTATCTCCTGTCCAACCTCGTGGGTTTTCTCCGGGTCCTCCGGTT